GAAAAATTCTAGTCATGAATCCAATCCTTTTTTCTATGAGAAAACCGCGCTACGACAAAATTTGGATATCTCTCTTACCGAAACGAGCGATTGGAGGAACTAAAAAATTAGCTTTTAGCGCTCCCGCGAAAGCATCCGGCAATCGATCGACGCCGGCCCCTTAGTTTCGAGAGAGTACGGGGCAATGGGAGAGCACATGCTAACTAATCACGAAGTTCGGTATTGATCGGCAGTGACCGCTGGTGCTTTGGGAAAGCATGGAGGGGTAGGAGGATGCAACACTGCTTCCTTACCCTCCCCCATCATCCTATACCCTCCCGAGGCACAAGCGGCCGGCACCGTTCAATGCTCCTCTGCTGCTGTGGCAGCGCGTTGAAGAGCGACATCGCGAAGCTGAACGTAACCTAAGCGACTCCTGATGACCTCAGTCTCAGACAGCTACTCCTAGCAATCCCACCCTACCTAGAAAGTTTCGTACTATTGTACATCACTCCTGTTGGTCGACAACGAACCTGCGGATTAATATCTATGTCCATGTAAACGTTCTTCACTGGATACAAGTTGGCTAGGGCCAAGTAGATGCACTTGATACGCTGTAGGTCTGCCGATTTTGCTTCGCCATCCCGTTGTTCTGCAGATTGTTCAGCTCTTCGCTCGCGAGCTTCCGATCGTTTCTCTTTGCCATGGAACTGAAAATTTTTATTTTGGTTGGGAAAGGTTAGAAAGAGAAAGAAACAAAATGGTCAAGAACACTTGAGTATTCTCTAAAAATCAGAAAATGCTAGGGGCCAAATTTATGGCAATCGCGTATTTTGAGAAGACTAACAAGGGAAGGATGGTAGGTCGAAGTGGCCATTTGAAATGAAATGTATACCGGCTGAAAGGTCTTCGGACGGGAATTACGAAACCGTCTTCCATATCTGCTGCGGACCTCCCAGAAAGAAGTTACGGAGCTTTTTAGGGGAGAATACACTACGAATTGGCGGCGTAAGGCGAGATCGTGGCAGCATGGCCGAGTGGATACGTCGTAGGGCTCACGGATGCGTGGTCGAGGGTTTGGATCCTTGATGCGTGTGCTCTTTTGCATTTTTTCGAAAGTGGTCCCTGTGCACTTCAAAGCTATTTTGCATAACACTTGTCCCTGATAATGTCGTGACGTAATGATTCTGAACTGATGGAGCCATTGCGAACGATTTCATGGAGATCACCTCCGGCTGAAAAGATTGTCATACGAGCCGAAAACTTCCAGCAGGTACGAAAACACTTTGAGATAGACATAATTCAACATTATGTGAGTGGTGAATGAAGCTCTTGCCCAGCGCGATCTCCAGCATCATGATTGTCACATCAACGCCACTTCAATGGAAGCATTTTCCCAGTATACTCATCTTCGTGCACAACTTCGTGCGTTCGGATTCGTTTTCCAGTCATGTCGTTTGGAGAATAAAGTCATTTGAAGGCAAAATCTTCCTTTGGAATGCACTTTTGTTGTGTATGCTTTTCAAATCAAAGAAAGAAGAAGACAACAGCCAGAAGTGATCTCTATGGAATGGTTCGCAATGGCTCCATCAGTTCAGAATCATTACGTCACGACATTATCAGGGACAAGTGTTATGCAAAATAGCTTTGAAGTGCACAGGGACCACTTTCGAAAAAATGCAAAAGAGCACACGCATCAAGGATCCAAACCCTCGACCACGCATCCGTGAGCTCCTACGACGTATCCACTCGGCCATGCTGCCACGATCTCGTGGCCTTACGCCGCCAATTTGTAGTGTCTCCCCAAAAAGCTCCGTAACTTCTTTCTGGGAGGTCCGCAGCAGATATGGAAGACGGTTTCGTAATTCCCGTCCGAAGACCTTCCAGCCGGTATACATTTCATTTCAAATGGCCACTTCGACCTACCATCCTTCCCTTGTGAGATGCCTTCGCCCAGCACATTGCTGGGACTTATTTTACTGCAAGTCTCATCTCTACTTGCAGTCGCTACTTGTTGTTGACGTTATTTTTCCATTCGAATATGCAAATGCATCCCAGAATCTCCTTATTTCCTTCTCAGGGCAGTATAAGCTGACAAGATAACGAAGGTTAATCACATGTCAAGGGAGACTAGGTGCTGATCCTGTTTAGTGATAGTCCGAAACTGCCAGACACAGCAACATGAGCCCTGTGTACGATCAGGTACTTTGACCTAAACGGCGCAGGAATCATATTTTAGAAGGAATGTTCGTTCATTTCAGAAGATTTTGTAAACAAATGAGACGCACTTTGACTGGGGGGAGGGGTGGGGGAGCTTTTGCACTTTCGCTATTGTCATCGACTTGTCAACTCTTATGATACCTTTCAACTTTTGTGAAGCAATGAACACGTCGATGGCGAAGAAGCAAAATCCCTTCAGGACGAAAGCGCCGCTTCTTATACAGGGGGAGGGCAAAAAAAAGACTTTTTTCCTTGACTTTCGAGGCGCTATAAGTTACACTTTATTGAATTCTGATCGGACACCACCATATTAAAGAGCATATCAAATACTATCATGATACTCCGCCACAGCCTTCTGGAGGAGCGCCATCGAGAGATTCTGCCACGCGACCGTGAGTGGGTGCCTGAGTTCAGCGAGATCGTTGATTTCTCCGCCACTGTAGACCACCCTATTGAACTCCGCCCGAACCGGGTAATTGAGGGAATTATATTCCATCTTCTTTAGGTACTCAGCCCCCTTCCATTCCAAGTAGGCGAGAGTTTCTCCAACGCCCTGATTCCATGTGGTGGCACCCAATGCTGTAGCAGTACAAAGTTTCCAAGAAGGTACGGGCGACGACATGTGGGGAGGATATTCTTCTCGAGTTGCTCGATGTAACCGCCAGCGCTCACCTTCAGTCCGGGGTCCACGAAGAAAATATTGGTCTTTCCATTCCAGGTTCCATACCATCAACCCGCGCCTTGGCGACTGTGGTGAAGATGATGTCCTAGACCGTGGCGACGTTGTCGGAGCTGCTCGATGTTGGAGGTCATCCAGATCGAGAGTACTGGTCTCCAGGTAGCTATCCATGGGTGACTCCATACTAGAAGTTTCGCAGCTGTTTGGAGGTGACATGAATTCCAAAGGTCTTCTCCAGTCAGGCTGCGACTGGAGATGACTTCATATTTTGGTGTACATGAAGGTGATGGGCGAGAGCCAGCTCCTGCTTATCGAGGAACATCTTGGGTATCTTCCGCCCTGGTACTCGTATCCACGTCCTGTCTGGGCTGCGAAAACTTTGCTGATATGTGACTCGGTCGAAATGTCTTTTTTTGCCCCCCCCCCCTGTATATTTCGAGTTTCAAAGAAAGCAAAAAAAAACGAGCAAAAAAAATTCACGCTCCTATTTTGTCATTACACCTTCAGAAAAATGTAATCATTATCAATGCGCTCACCTTAGCGAAATATCGTTTATCCGTTGATGATTGGTTGTGGCTGGCGCAGAAGGATGCCACAAGAAGATATCTACAAGAGGAACAGATTTGAGAGTTAGGGCAACCTTACTACGAGCGACATTCCTGTAAGCTCAGGCAAGGATACTGTAAAAGAATGCCAAGTAAAATACCAACTTGGTACACAAGGGAAGATCCATGAACCCTTCACGATCGTTCTCGTCTTGCCAGTAACAATCGGTTTCATCCTGAAAATGAACTAAATTAGGAAAAATTATAAAAACGAGGTAGTGCATTGGCAAGTGGTATGTCCAGTCCGGTGGTCAAATCCCGGACCGGGCTCTCGTCCCGACCAACCAAGCTTTCTACTCTATGGGGACAGTAAATCGGTAGTATAAAAATACTAATTCACCGCAAGTCATTGTACTTTTTTAATAATACGGGGGTAGAACGCGTGCCGCATCCCAGACAGGGATAGATCAACGGCGATCAACTCGATCTTCATAATATAAAGCTTTCACGCTTAGCACTCTCCCCCTGGTGCACCACGCACCCTATAGTGTGCTATCCAGTCAGATCATTGTAGCTGCTTTCTGAGCATCGGGTTCTCCTCTAATGGATGACTTGCACGAGACCAGAAAAAAAACTAGTAGTCAGTGTTTTTGATCCTCACAAGGAAAGATTTATCCCTTCAATTACCCTCTTTGGATGACTTGGGGCTGTCTGGGAGTTCATCCACAGACTGGCTCCCGCCCAACACCGTTCTGGTCAGGGTGCATCCTGCCATTAAAGGAAGATTTTGCAGAATAGACGCCTGATAATTTCCTCCTCTGTAATTTCTTTCTGCGTAATTCTAGGCCATCCTACCGCCACTTCGCTGATAAATTACAACTCCTATTGAAACTTCCGAAGTTTTTTTCCAAAAAAAATCGTAATTTCCCCTCAAAAGCAGCCGCGCGAGCAGGGGAGGGGGGGAGGGGAGAAATAACAGCACAGTGAAACGCAAAAAACCGAGACCAACAACCATCTGCAACCGAAACCATTTTTTCTCATGGGCAAATATGACAGCCCCCCCATGACAGGAGCTTCCAGCGTACAACGTGCCCTGATTCTGATTACAATATGGCATCACTGAAATTGAATTCTTGGGTTTTAAGCTTGGTTCTCACAATCTGGTACGCGAAAAGTGCAACGTTTGTAGACGGCGGCGTCCTTGTCAGGCTCGTTATAGCTTTTTGCGGCAGCGTAGCGTAGCGTAGCGCAGCGTAGCGTAGCGCTTCCAGCGTACGCCAGCGTTTCTCCAGCGTTTCACCAGCGTTTTGCTAGCGCTTGCAGCGGCAGGGAGTAGAGACTATGTGGCCGTGAGAGAAGCGGAATCGACGTGTATTGTAGAGACCATATGTGGCCGTCGGAGACGCAGAAGCGATGTGCATTGTAGAGACTATGTGGCGTCGGAGACGCAGAAGCATGTGGCATCGTAGAGAGACTATGGGGCCGTCGGAGACGCAGAAGCGATGTGCATTGTAGAGACTAAGGGCGAGTGGGAGACGCGCAATCGATGAGTTTTGTACCCTCCAGCTCTCCCATAGTCTCTACTCCCCTGCCGCTGCAAGCGCTAGCAAAACGCTGGTGAAACGCTGGAGAAACGCTGGCGTACGCTAGCGTACGCCAGCGTGCCGCTGGTGACGCTGGTGAAGCTAGATCGATATGCATCCTCTCTTCGGCACTGCCGCTGGCGTACGCTGGAAGCGCTACGCTACGCTGCGCTACGCTACGCTACGCTGCCGCAAAGTATAAACGCAGCCTATCATTTTCTTACCATAGATCTGACAAGAACAGGCTGTAGAAAGTTAAAGTGCGACAGGAACTCACAAGAGCTTCCAAGACGGGCAACAACTTCAAGTTTTTAATCTCGTTTATTTCACCATATTTCTCTGAATATTTTTCACAAGCAAGGCGAACCTAAAACAGCGACTTGAACGAGGCAATTCAAGGATTGATGAATAAAAGGGGAAACCCACTATTTGTAAGATTCTTTGAGCATCACGGCACTCAAAGAACACCGCTTTTACCACGTATTCAACGATTTTCCTGCTGTATTCACCATTCAGAGCTTCAGCGATTGCATCGATACATTCCTCTGCAAACGGATAAGCGCGATTAAGCAGGAATCGCAGTTTTCACGAACAGTTTTTCAGTTTTCGCGTAATACGACCCCCCCCTCAACAGTTCCTCCACCGCAAATGACCCCCCCCCGCCCTTTCCCTTTGCTACGTACACCCATGTGCTACTATATGGGTCTGAGACATGGACGTTGCTCAAGTCGGATCTCTCTCATCTCGAGGTGTTTCAAATGCGTTGTCTCCGCCATATGCTCGGGATCAGGCTTCGTGACCATGTCACGAACAACGCCATCAGGGAGAAGTTTGAAGATCAACCCACAATCGAGGAACAATTGAAACTGCGACGGCTACGATGGTTCGGTCATCTGTGCAGGATGGGTCACGACAGAATACCTAATATGCTCCTGTGGAGAAAACGCCCTGCGCAGTGGAAAGTTCAGAGGACGGCTCCAAAAAAGACTTGGTTGAAGCAAGTTGAGGAAGACCTTAGAATGGAGACACTTCATTCAGGGCGTTCGTACTCCAATGGCACCCACAGCAGTGTACTGGTTGAGAGGACGGCCCCCACCACCAGACGCAAGCTAAGGGATAAGTAAGAAGAAGAAGAAGACCTATCATTTTGCACAAAATATTCTCCCGCTTCTTCTCCAAAAAAACTGCCGCGTCGATATTGGAGTGGGGGAGGGGGGGAACAGGTAACGAGAAAGGTCCACAACTGAAAACATCTTTCTTATGGAGATATTCTTACTTATTTTTAGATTACTCTCCAGCGATCAAATATGACTCTTTCGGTGGTAATCCCAACGGAACAAAAACCAGTAGGAAATTACGAAGAGGAAATTGGACTTTCACATGGTCTTGCTGTGAAGCCCTGCAAACTGGAAGCACAACATGGCCTGAGAAACATACGGTGACCCCGAAAATGGGGTTCTCTGAAGGGGGTGAGCTACTGGTCCTATGTGAAGCGTTGGAAAGTGCGAGATTACTGCGTCCTAGAATGCAATATAGACGAGAGAACGCAGAAGAGAGCAGGAATTGGCGGTTCCACAGGAATCGGATTGAACTTGCCGGTAGCTCGATGAAGGTTGTACCTCCTTGAACGCTGCGGACGCTGAGTGCTTCCGGAGATGAGGAGTACTGGGTTTGGCGCGGCACTAGCTTGTTCTCCACCAATTAGGCAGCGTTCAGACTTCACGACGGCAGCGCTTCGGTCGCGCGTTCGACGCGATCGATGCGCATGCTTTCGACTGCATCGATCGCGTCGAACGCGCGATCGAGCTGATATCGCGAAGTCTGAACGCTGCCTTAAGTCGCCTGCCACCTTTCGCAACTGGTGGAGAACAGGATGGCGGCGCCAAGCACAACAGCCTACCGGAAACAACCTAGCGTCCGTAGAGAACACGACTATACGAGCTGTGCGAGAGCTTGAAGGCTTGAATGTTCCACGAAAACCTCCTACCTCCCCCAAGCTGATACGAGGAAGACTCTCCCCAGAAAGTGGATTCGTTGTTCCGCAGCCTCCTGGGCCTGACGCAGCTTTGAAAACTACGAGTGTAAGCGTAACGCAACTGCTGTAACACAGGAGAACCCAATAATTCCATGAACGCGCTTACCTTCAGAACGGCACTCGAAGCTTATCGAAACAGGTTGCGGAACCAAGTTCAACATTCCTATACGATCCCATGGTAATTCGCTATGAGTGATAAAACGGATCAATGGATCATCGAGATCTGGGCAAATGATATCCATCTGAAAAAAGTAGCCTTGTCAAGTACGAGATCTACTGGACTGGACATCCAAAACTTACCGATTTCGGCAGCGATAGAAGGCTTTTCACTACTGACACTGGAAATGATGAGAGGCAATGAGCTTGATCAAGGACAATGGTAAGTTTTATTCGCTTATTCCTGAAACAGAAAACATGAAGAGAAAATGAAAGTAATACGGGAAAAATTCAAAAAGTTGACCCTACGTGGAAAAGAGATGCTTGCCCAGGAAAACTGCCAGCGCGTTGATAGTGTTCACCTTGCCGTCATGTTCCAAGTTTAGCCCTCTCAAAATTTCGTCAACCAACAATTTGAAAGAGCCGTTCACCAGGAAGCAGTTCACAATCCACGTAATGGGAAAACTGTAACAAATCATTATCTTTTTCCGAAAGGAATGTCCTACTAAGACCGCATTCAAATCCATTCAAATCCCAAAGACGAACCTCTCTATGATTGTGAGGAGATTCGGTAAGCTCAATCGGAATGCGCGGCCATTCTGGCGATTGTCGCGTAAAAGGGAGTCGCTAAGCTGGCGTTTCCCGATCGGTCTCTCTGCCAAATCACATTCAGCTCTGTCAATCTCTCCCAAATCGCCAAATCGCAGCGATCGCGCTCATCGATAACTATCTACTCCACTGGCGCGAAATCGCTGGAAGCGCCGCGTCTCCCAAACCTCCGTCGCAATGTATGAATGTGGTGTCACGCAATCTAGAACAAACCTAGTGCAGTTCTCACAAGACTCGTAGGAAGAAAATTCAATTTGGTCAAGGCATTGTACAAAAGAGCCCACCTTGTCTTTCTTCTGCAGCTTGATAAGCTCTTCCTCGATATCGTCAAGTATATCGGCGTCCCCGATGCCGTAGCAGTGAATATGTGAGATACATGACCATTGAGACAGCAAAGCATGTAACTTATGTACAGAATTGGTACGCATCAAAGAGATCTGCAGAAGACAAGTGGGAAGTCACTGCTCAACACGCAACAGATGGATCACAAGTTGTGATCACAAGTGCTGAGTTATGGGTACAATGCTTTGGCCTAGGCAGAACATGGACGCAAGCCTCATATTTTCCTGATGAGTGGCATCGCATTCCCATAAGATTCCAGCATAAAAGGAAAAAGGATAAAGTCTTCGCCGTTGATCAATCCCTTTGTGGGATGCGGCACGCATTCTACTTCCATTCAGAATCGTAGTGGCTTATTGAATGCGATGTGGCCTATACAATGACTTGCGGTGGCCAGCCGATGTACAAGTCAGTGTTTTATCCTCCCAGACGAATCTGGTACCAATTTACCGTCCCCGGAGGGTAGAAGGCTTGGTTGGCCTGGGCGGGTGTCGACCCGGGATTCGAACCCGGCGCCGCGCGAGTTGTAAGCGCGCCAATAGAAACCAAGATCATATCGAACGTTCCCAGTCATTGGAAGGGGAGTCGTATCAGAGGAGGGAACTTTGGGCGGAGGTGGGTGGCGCCGTCATAAGTGAGACCGTCATTTTACACGCCACGATGAT